TAATATGACTGTCAAAAAATTATTTGTTTGTATTTGCAGGAAAACTGGCATCATGAGAGCTAATAGACCGAAATAGTTGGGGCATATTGAAAGAATACCAGATGACAGAGAGGTAAAAACTGTATGCACAAGGCAGCAGAATGGTCGTAGACCACGAGGCAGACCAAGAAAACGATGGAGAGATAATGTCCAAACAGACCTGCAAACACTTGGTGTCACCAACTGGAAAGAGAAGGCAAACCAGAGAGATGAATGGAGGTGGGTGATATCTGCAGCAATGAACTTCAAGGGCTTGGAATGCTGAAGAAGAAGAAGAAGATTTGCAGGAAAGCAAACTGAGGTATTGTAGTGGTAGGCATGCATGTCTGCTTATCATCATCATGTATCATGCTCCAGTTGTCTTGACATTGTCTAGCCATTGGATCAAGATGGACACAGGCAAGAGAGTGAGGTCGACAAATTGCTCAACTCTTCCACACTTAAATCCAAGTCCTTGCGCAAGTCACTTTCATCCAGGGATGAAGTTGGTCAACACCATGCTCATAAGTAACGCAATCATCAGAATGACTAATTAGGTCAGTCCTCTTCTCCTGTCCCATCCACGTCACCAGGTATTAATATCTTTGAATTGTTTGTTATTGTACCCCGTTGTATAGTTGTGTGTGTGTGTGTGTGTGTGAGTGCCTTTCTCATTACTCTCTCTATATTATATTTCTTTAGGATGGCTCTCTGTTTCAGTTGGTACCTGGGCACAAAACTGAACTAGAATATGATTTTGTGGTTCAAATAGAAAAGACGACCATACAAATAAATGTGCTGAATGATGTACTTAAATAGTATTTAAAAGGTAAAAGGTAAAGTCAGGAGATGTGAACCAGCGTCACTGCACACGGTTATAAACCATAAGTGCTCTGCCACCAGTACGTACAGATGATAAGAAACTGTCCACCTGTGTTGCCATCCGCACGTAACTCTGTAGCTACAGCAACGTTCCTCCATTTACCCCAGTGTCACTCTCGTACCCATTTCCTAGAGGCTAGATGAACTCCGGGAACTGCCCGGTTTTGAACACCGGCCATGACTGCAGCGAGTCGCAGCTGAATTTGAAGGTGAGCCTCCTATAGACTGCACTAACGCAGCTCCGAATATATAAAATATAGTATAAATAGTATTTAATACAGTGTAAACATAAACTTATAATTAAAATATATATTTCTTGCAGTTGTCTTTGGGCTGAAAGATAGATTTTGACCTAGTCTAAAGTTCATTCAATGCAAACTGGCAATAATGATGATAATGATGACTGAAAATACATCATAGGATAGAATGAAATGAAGGAATAGACTGTAAGCCCTATGTGACATATGAATGGCTTTAAAGGATGATGAAGCAGATTAAAATATATGGCAGATTAATGACATACATATCACTATTGCATCATAATTCAGTAGAACACATACAGACTGGCTATGCTTTGACCAGGTTTTTTTCTCAGGTTTAATCCTTTTGCCCCAGGAACTATTTGGAGAAAAAAGGTGAAAAAAAAAACACCGGACTTTATGAAAAAATCTTTCAAAAAAATACAGGTCACTAAACAAATTTCAAAAATTTATTTATATACATTTTTTTACATTCATTTTATAAATATACGAATGGCAAAATTCCTTTGTGGGCTTCTGGGTCCCATTTTGGGGATAAAGAATAGACCAACCAGGCAATAAATGGAAAAACAAAAAAATAATAATAACATAAAGCAACGACAATGACTTGATAGTGTATTTTGTGTGTGTGTTTGTTAACACTAAATAAGAAGAGTATGGAGGCAACTGAGATGTGGTTATTGAAAAGAATGCTGCAAATACCCTGGACTACCAGAATAACTAACAATGATTGCCTGGAAATGGCTAATGACAGTAAAAAATTATATACAACGATGAGAAGGAGACAAACAAAAGTTCTTTGATCATGTGATGAGAAAAGGAGCAATGGATATATCATGACAACAGGAAAGATCACTGGTAGATGAGGCGGAGGCAGACCAAGAGAAATTATGGCGGATTACTTAAAACAGTGGCATGGAAAAAATTTCATCAGTAGAATTGATCCAGGACACCAAAGACCAAGATCTGTAGAAATGCATGAACACCTATGCCAGATGGCAAGGCACTTGATGACGATGATGATGATGACTCTTAACACTATTGTTTTACTAGTATAGCACATACGTTTTTAACGTCAGGTAGCTTCGGTTTTTGATAAATCCAGTGTTGTCTTGGTTACATATGTACAAAATATGTCAATACATTTGGCTTCTTCTTTTTTCTGTTTGTCCTTACAAGAGCAGGTAAAATGTTGTGTTGTGGTTTTGTGGTTTACAGCTAGGCTCTAATATCTGTGACTTTCAGCCTAATACATCAGCTTTTTTTTTTCTGAGCACCTATGGACATGTCCGGAGTGCAATGAGGATAACCCAACTAACTAACTAACTAACTAACTAACTAACTAACTAACTAACTAACTAACTAACTAACTAACTAACTAACTAACTAACTAACTAGCTAACTAGCTAACTAGCTAACTAGCTAACTAGCTAACTAGCTACCTAGCTAGCTAGCTAGCTAGCTAGCTAGCTAGCTAGCTAGCTAGCTAGCTAGCTAGCTAGCTAGCTAACTAACTAACTAACTAACTAACTAACTAACTAACTAACTAACTAACTAACTAACTAACTAACTAACTAACTAACTAACTAACTAACTAACTAACTAACTAACTAACTAACTAACTAACTAACTAACTAACTAACTAACTAACTAACTAACTAACTAACTAACTAACTAACTAACTAACTAACTAGCTAACTAACTAACTAGCTAACTAGCTAACTAGCTAGCTAGCTAGCTAGCTAGCTAGCTAGCTAGCTAGCTAGCTAGCTAGCTAACTAACTAACTAACTAACTAACTAACTAACTAACTAACTAACTAACTAACTAACTAACTAACTAACTAACTAACTAACTAACTAACTAACTAACTAACTAACTAACTAACTAACTAACTAACTAACTAACTAACTAACTAACTAACTAACTAACTAACTAACATCAGCTTTAAGTAAATCCTGAAGTGGGGTCCTGGAACCCACACAGGGAACATCCGGCTAAACAAATGGGGAAATCAGCTAAACTTCATGTACAGAAAATCAAGAATGATACAAAACACAATTTTAACCTGAAGTGTATTTTGTGCTAAAATATATACAGAGCTTTTCTTATTACAGATTTATATTTTCATGGCTAAATTATAGTGTGCACAATGATGTTATTATAACAAAGTGCAAAATTTTGATACATTTAAATAAAATTTCGGTTCTTTTGTAATATTCTATCCCAGATGACATCACAGGACAGTCCAACATTTTAGAGGGTGGTAAGACTGGGTTTCCCCGGCTGGATGCTTTAATGATCCCAAAACATCTAGAACTTGCCCTAACCCTAACCCATCTACGCTCCATGACAGAGTGCAGCCTAGGTCCCATGAATGCATGCAGCCTAGGTCCAATGACTGCATACAGCCTAGGTCCAATGACTGCATACAGCCTATTCGCTACCCCCTGCAATATTTGACTGTCCTGTGTCCTGTGGATTTCCTTTTTTTGGGGTAGGATATTAAAAAAGCATAAAAATGTCTTTTATGCGTGAACAGAAAGTTACTTAATTGTGTCCCCTTTACAGGACGTTGCAAAACTAACCGCAGAATTTATTATGGTTTATCTAGGCAAATTTGCATTCAGTAGTTTGCCACTGTTTCCTCAACAATCGGCTCTTGATATCACTAGCAGTCTGCTGCCAAATTGCCTGCAGCTGGGACTAAAAACGGCACCCAGGCATTATGCAGAGCATTTGCAATACCTAAGACAAATGTTATCTCACACAAAAGGTTGACATAAATATTCTGTCACACAAACTGTTGACAGAAATTTTCTCTCGTAATAGAAAGTTGAAATGTTCTTTCACACAATAAGATACCAAACCAAACAAAAAGCTGAACAAGTTAGCTTCACATCATTACAAAAACAAGCAACAAGTGAACACTGCAGCTAGAGAGTTTTCATCAGTGCATACATAAATCTACAGTGAACAAGAATACATAAAAATCACCGAAGTGATTTATCTCCGTAGAAGTCACATTTCTTTCAGCCAATAGAATGACTAGACACGTGTATGGCCATGGCAAATAAATAGGCCAGAAAAGAGTCATGAGATGACAAGGGTCGTAACTTTAAGATATTATATGAAAAACAATAAGAAGATAAATGTTTTCTTTCACACAACATTTTGACAAAAACATTCTTTCACTCAACATATTGACAAAAATGTTCTTTCACAATATTAAATATTAAACTTATCATATATTGACATAACTATTCTCAGACAAACTGTATGTTGACAGAACTATTGTCTCACATATTATATGCTCACAGAACTATTCTTTCACACAATATATATTGACAGAACTATTTTCTCACACACTGTATGTTGACAGAACTATTCTCTCACACAATATATGTTGAAAGAACTATTTCTCCAATGTTGTATGTTGACAAGTATTCTCTCAGACTCTTTATGTTGACATAATTATTCTCTAACACAATATGTTTTGGTAGAACTATTCTTTTACATAATTAAATGTTGACACAACTATTCCATTATATAACTGTTTGCTGACATAACTATTCCATTACATAACTACATGCCAACACAAATATTCCATTACATAAATGTAGGCAGACAGAACTATTCATTTACATAACTGTATGTTGGCTAAACTATTCTCTCACATAATATGTCCAAACAAAACTAATCTGTCATATAACTGCATGTTGACTATTCTCTCACAAAGTATGTTTTGACATAAATATTTTTCACATCATATGTTGACATTACTTGTGTCTCACATGCTGACCCAGCTAAAGTGGCCTCACGTCTGCTAAAACTAAGCAGATCAGTTTTCCCCTTTACTCTCTGAATCAGAAAGGATTTCCCAGGCTGCATCACTGCTATCACTGCTAGAGTTACTGGGGTTAACAATCTCTGGCTCTGACATGACACCTTCTTCATCTTTCTCGGACTCTACCCCACTGCTGCTCCCAGATGTTGCCATAATGTTCTGTTGCTCCGGCACAACTTCAACAGAATCTATGCTCAGTTTTCTGTCTTCTTCCACAGTCTCAGGAGTATCCATCAACATCTCAGATGAATTCTCAAAATTTAGAGGATTCTGACCTTGTCCTGAAGAATTTGATTCTTCCTCCATATTGTCTTCCATCACAACATAACTACTTGATACAGCAGCATCAACTTTAGAAGCATCTGGCCATGCCTGCTCTTCAGCCAATGCTTCAGTTTCATTTGAAGTCATAATTTCAGCCTCTTCCTCTCTGTCTTTGGGTGCAAAACTGGTCTTTTCTTCTGCAACACTCTCTGGAGAATGTTCTTTAGCTGAAGCGGCTATCCCCGTGTAGACTTCAGAATTGGATGTCTGATCCTTGTCTGCAAGCTGTGAGTTAACATCTGACACTAAGATGTATTCACTACTATCAGCTAGTGTGCTTGCTTTCATAAACACCTCAGAGTCTTTGAAAGGATGAAGCTCTTCTGAATGTTCACGACAAACATACTCGGTTTCAGAGATTTCCCTTATATTCTTGTCAGGTACAATGTTCTCTGTTGAAATCAAATGTAAAGACAATGTTATTTAAAACAAAAGCAAAAAATAAATAATACCAAACATGGACATTATCAAAGACTCACATAAAATTATTGCTCACAGTTTATTTAAAGATCATCTTTATCGCATGTCGGACATGTCCATGAGTGCTTTGATCTACTCCTGAGTATATCTCTAAGTGTTTTTAGGCTAATAACTTCCATTCTGTTCTGGCTGATGTAACGATGGGTGGCTCCCACCTGGTTTTCCTCTCTCGCTGCTCCAATAGGTTCACCCATGGTATGCAGTCCACAAAACTGAAAGCCTCATAGTGTTTGGTCTCTTGTGTGGCATTGATGATGTCTCTCCTGTCCATAGATGGCCCATTCCTGATAGTGGCACTGCCAGCCAGGGAAACTGCTCTCTCATTGCCTTTCACATCAGCATGCCCTGGGACAAAAATTAAGGTGATTTGTGAAACGCTGCGTGCTGTATCAAATGGAGCCAGTTTCCACACATGCACCGCCTTGATCTTCTTTAGCATAAGTAAAATTCACCTCTGTGAAATGAGATGTTTGAGGAAAACGTTCAACTTAATCATTTGAAATTGAATTAGAAATGATCCTATCATGCAGACTGTTCCTGACATGGGTTTTGGGGGTCCCAATTTTTGTGGGGAGAAAAAAAAAAAGAAAACAAGAATAGACCCCCCTGCCTCCTCAACAAGCATGTCCTAGGAGTCGACTAATTGAAGACTTTATTTGAAGTCAAGAGTGCATCTGCCCAAGCAGCAAGGAACAATCAACTGCACACAAATAAGTCAGAAATGGATGTAAATGTAAAACTCAGGCCTTGGCACAAAGCCAATGTTCAAATGGACAAACAACCAGGACTTTCCATCAGAGCTTACAGCCAGTGAACAAAGAAGAAGAAGAAAACCTAATATTTCTTTTCCTCAGATAGCAATATTTGCCAAGGGACTAATCTAAACTGAGCCCTTTCTTATTTTTATATCATAAAAAAGGACACAGCGATTCCCTGGATGAGCCCAGGACCAGACCGTCATGTGACAGCTCTGCATTTATGGAAGCCTCCTTGGATAGCGTGGAACAATCATGCTCTACAAATGCCTTCCCTTGTCAGTTGATCAATCTGCACATGGCATCCCTGGACGGGTTCTCTAGGTACAAAAACCAATGGACTGAGGATGATGAAGTCACCATACACATGCAGCTATAAATGTGCCTTGAAACTACCAGAGAAGACCAGCCTAGATAAAAAAAATATCAGAAGTTAGATGCAACAGCTATAAAGGTAAAGATATCTCAACTGTGTTGTAAACAGGCACAACACATTTATATTACTCTCAAAAACGATGAAGAAGATATTCATAAAAACAGTTAAAATACCTGAATGAAGATGTTCCTCTGTTTTAGAAATGGTTTCCTCTCTCGAATACTTCTGTGAAGAAAGCACACATAATCAATATCCTTGGTTGTCTTTGTTCCAACAGGAGTGGTGAGGCCTCAGTCTCTTTAAATAGTAAACATCTTGCACCACTTTTTGAAAGCTATGAGAAACATCTTTGTAAAAACTGCTCTCTACAGAAATCAGACCCATTTCCAGATCAGAACAAGTGATCAGTACAGTATTTTAACTAAAAGTCATTGATTTAAAAAAGAGTGTGGCTTATATTTGAGATATTAGGCCTACATGTCACTGGTACACAATTTATTAACAAACAATATACAATTTCTAAACGTACCTTAAGAAAACACTACCAGTAACTCACAACATTGCTGTCTGCCCCTGAATCATAAAATAATTCTGTGCCATAGAGTGCCTTGCCTTGCCATAACTGGCTTAAAATTCCCTAAGAGAAATTCCTACGATATTTGATAATTCAAGCTCTTCAAACTATAACATTTCTACAGACAAAAGAAAACCCATTTGCCCACATTAGCAGATTGGTTTCTTCTTCTGGGTATTTCCCCTTCTTGCACTTAAAAAAAATTGTTTTTGTCAAGAACATCTTTTATTTTAATCTATCTTCACATATTGTTTTCTCATCCACATCAAACTTCCTCCCAGCTGCTTGATTTTCATTTTCTCCATCATAACGTACCACTTGCAGCTTAAATTTACAACTGTATCTTGCCTTTGCATGGCCCATCTTTCACTGCTTGCAGGTACTACTGTTTTGGATTTGGTCAATCAGAAAGTCACCAAAACCGGCACAAGATTACCATTTTTTGGAAAGACCAGAGCAAGTAAATTTTCTACGCCTTAGAACACAGCACAATCGACTTGTCAGCCACAGTACACACAATTTAAAATCAGCGAATCAGACATGTGCACAAGTAGATTGGCACCTGAGTCAACAGATCATGTCCTCCAAGACTGTCCCAAATACAACCTATCAAGGCAAAACTTTTGGCCAAGAGAAACACCGGTGCAAGTCAAACTTTACAGGTCGATGAGTGAATTACAACAGACAGTAAAGTTTATACTAGAGACAACCTTGCAGATATAGATAATTTATTTCAAGCAAACGGAAGAAGAAGAAGAAGAAGAAGAAGAAGAAGAAGAAGAAGAAGAAGAAATTTTTTTCCCCCGTAAATAATTGTCTCAGAAATGGGGTGTGACCTACACAGCATGCAGCCTATAAACACATAAATATGATACTGTGCATTAGAACAGGGCACAATCATTTGTTGTTCAATAATAAAATTACAAAACAGATGCCAATATGGGAAAGAAATTGACTGAGGAAGCGAAGACATCTAAAGAAATACAATGAAGAATGTTGACAACATAGGTTGGAATTGCTGAACTAAATTCCATACACAAAATAAAATAAATAAAGCTATCCAAAGAAGCATTATTCAAGACAAATGTATATGAGGTTTAAAAAGGGTGTTATTGGCTATGTGCATGTTTCAGCCATCACCCTAGACAGTAGAACACATACTCTAAAACTGCCCCAGATATGACACTTTATGGCAAACTCTTTGGTCAAAAAGAACAGCAGTGGAAAATGAGCCACTGATGACTTGCAGAAAAGACAACTTATTTAAAATGAACAAAATAAGAAGAAAAAGGAAGAAGGAGAAGAAGAAGAAGAAGAAGAAGAAGAAGAAGAAGAAGAAGAAGAAGAAGAAGAAGAAGAAGAAGAAGAAGAAGAAGAAGAAGAAGAAGAAGAAGAAGAAGAAGAAGAAGAAGAAGAAGAAGAAGAAGAAGAAGAAGAAGAAGCCAAAGAAGATAAAAACCCCACCCCAAAAAAAGAAGCTGAAGAAGAAGCCAAAGAAGAAGCTAGAGAAGCGAAAGAAGAAGCTGAAGACAAAGCCAAATAACCAGAAGAAGCCAAAGAAGCTGAAAAAGCCAAAGAAAAAGCTAAAGAAACACTAAAAAAAAAAAAAAGCAAAAAACTTACCTTTGCCTCAGCGGTAAATTGAGACCAGCTGATATCAACAAGTGATCCTGTGAGTGGGAACATACTCTGAGAGTCTTCTTGGAAGGTTGTAAGGTCAGAGGTCAAGGATATCATACTTCTTTGGTCAGATGGTGTTGGAGTTTGTTTCTTCTTCATGGCTGAACGCGTCATGCTGAGCCTTCAAAAACAATGAAATAAACAACAGATATATTGTGATAAATCTAGCTTCACAAGTAATGTTGTTCAAGGGGATCAAGGGAAAAAAACAGGTAAAATTTAGCACATATATAGTTGGAGCTATGCCAAATTCTAATGAGCAGAAGATCGTAACAACAGAAGTGAGATAGCTTAGGAGAGCTGCCGGTGTGACAAGAAGAGATCAAATCAGGAATGAAGAAATTAGAAGAAGAGTAGGACTGAAACCAGTCATACAATTTGCCAGTCATACAATTTGTTAAAGAACAACAAATGAGATGGTTTGGCCATCTGATGACAATGCACTGGTACCAACTGCCACAGAGAGCCACGCTGAAGAAATAAAATGAACACAGAGCAAGGGGAAGGCGATGCAAGAGATGGAGCAACATCATCAGGAGCAATCTAACAGAAATGAACACCAACTTGTACAGTGCATCGGAAAAAGTGCACAAAAGATGCTTACATCTCCCCACAACACCTCAACGAGGTCAATGCTGGAAGTTCTTCTTCTTCTTCTTCTTCTGCGTTCGACATCAGTCACGCTACACATTGAGTCCCGTCTGGGTCAAAAATAGGATTGTGCGTTTAAGGTCGCCACCAGTCCCCCATAGCTTCTCTCGCAATGTGGATCCCCTGGGCCAGATCCACAGTCTTTGCTGGGAGAGGTAAGGGCAGTACTGCAGTATGTGTCCAGGGGTCTGTCTTTCTGCTCCACAGTCACAGGCAGCAGATTCTTTTATGCCTATCCTGTACAGGTGTGCCCGAAGACCACAGTGTCCAGTCCGAAGTCTAAAAATTGATGTTTGTTCTTTCCTGTTGAGTTTGTTTATGCTGTCACTCTCTGGTCTGTAATCTCTATTCTGCTTTCTCCACTCCCGCTTGAAAGACTGCTTTAGTGCTGTTTTGGTTTCCTTGTAGCTGTGTGGTGGATGAGGTTGTGGAAGATTACTCCCAGCTTTTGCCAACTCATCTGCTCTCTCATTTCCTTGAATACCACAGTGGGCTGGTATCCACTGCAAGACCAGTTCTGCTTCCTTGGAGAGTAAGCCAATAATGCTGGAAGTGAAGAAGAAGGAGAAGAAAAAGATTATGCCAAATTCACTTAAATGCTAAATCCTTGTTTAAGAACAATCAACTGCATGCAAATAAGCCAGTAAAATGAATGTGCATGTAAAACTCAGTCCTGGCACAAAGCCAAAGTCTGAATGGACAAACAACTAGGACTTTCTGCCGGAGCTTACAGCCGGGTAACAAAGAAGAAGAAGATCTGCTGCTTTATTAATATCCTACCCCAAACAGGGAGAATCCACAGCTCACTGGATAGTCTAATATTTCAGGGGCTGGTAGATAGGCTGCATGCAGTCATGGGACCTAGGCTGCACTCTCTCATGGGACGTAGGTGGGTTGGGGTTAGGGCCACTTCTAGATGTTTTGGGGTTGTTAAAAGCATCAGAAAGCAGGGAAACCTATTCTCACTACCCTCTAAAATGATGGACTGTTCTGGGACGTCATCTGGGGGTAGGATATTAAAAAAGCACCAACAATCCTGTGAAAACTATAGAGGAATTATGTTGCTGTCAGTTCCTGGAAAAATATTAAGTAGAATTATTTTGGAAAGATTAAAAGATGCTATTGATAAAATGCTAAGAGATGAGCAGACAGGTTTTCGGTCCAACAGATCCTGTACTGATCAGATAGCCACATTACGTATTATAATAGAGCAAAGCATTGAACTGAACTCACCACTTTATATTGGATTTATAGACTATGAAAAAGCATTTGACAGCATTGATAGGGAATCTCTCTGAAAATTGATAGGGCACTATGGAATCCCACAGAAAATTATCAACTTAGTAAAGGCAACATATAAAGACATGAAATGTCGAGTTCTTCATGAGGGAAAGCTAACAGATGCATTTGAAATAAAAACAGGTGTGCAACAGGGATGTCTTTTGTCGCCTCTCCTATTTTTACTGGCTATAGACTGGACTATGAAAACAGTAACTGCTAACACCAAGAATGGAATTCAGTGGACCCCTACAAAACAGCTTGATGATCTGGACTTCGCTGATGATATTGCCCTTCTGTCCCATTCACGGAATCAGATACAAGATAAATTAAATATACTTAATGCGAGATCACAGCAGCTTGGTCTGAAAATCCATAAAGGAAAGACAAAGATAATGAGAATAAATCAGGCAAATAGTAATGTGATTTCTCTTAATGGCACCCCACTCCAAGAAGTGGAGTCGTACACCTATTTGGGCAGTAATGTAGATAAAGATGGAGGAACTGATAGAGATATTAAAATAAGAATACAAAAGGCAAGAGGGGCTTTCATAGCACTAGGGAATTTGTGGAGGTCAAAAGAAATTAAAAGAAATACTAAACTAAAAATTTTTAATTCTAATGTCAAATCAGTACTATTGTATGGGGCGGAAACATGGAGAACAACGAAGGCAATTACTAATAAATTACAGACATTCATTAACTGGTGCCTGCGCAGAATAGAGGGAATAAAATGGTATGATAGAATAACTAATGTAGAACTTTGGGAGAGAACTAAACAGGCTCCAGTGGATCAGGAGGTGAGGAAAAGATGCTGGCGTTGGATAGGGCACACACTGAGAAAACAGGAGAACAGCATAACTAGAATGTCCTTGCATTGGAACCCACAGGGGCATAGGAATAAAGGAAGGCCAAAAAACACATGGAGAAGAGAGCTGGAGAATGAGGTCAGAAAGATTGGGAGGACATGGGGAGAGCTCCATGTAATGGCGAAGGATAGAATGATTTGGCGTGAGTTGGTTGAGGGCCTATGCTCCATTGGGGGATAAAAAGGCAGAAGAAGAAGACCAACAATCCTTATTTCCCATTTTTGTGCCTGTCTGGTGATTCTCTGCTCATGTCTTCTTAGGATGTAACCAATACAGTGCCATCTTCCCCCGTGTGGGTTCAGGGGCCCCATTATAGGGAAAACAAGAACAGACCCACTGCCTCCCCAAAAGCATGTCGTTAGAGTCGACTAATTGGGGAGCTTCCTTTGAAGTCGGAGTACATCTGCTGGAGAGGCAAGGAACCAACAGTCTGTATTCAAGAGAATGAGATCTGTAAAACTGATGCACATGCAACACTCAGGTTCTGAAGCAGAACTGCTATTCACTAGTGGACGAGCAACCAGAACTTTCCGCTAAAGTGTACAGCTGGTGAAGGCGAAGAAGAAGAAGAAGAAGAGTGCCATCTTCTTTATCTTAAAGTGGTTGTTAATGTGGTTACCCAGACATTTCTCTTATTTTACCACCCCTCTGAAATTCATCCCCATATTTTCAACATTTTGTTTCACAGAAAAATCTCTTGCATGTCTGTCTCAGGAAAAATACACAGTAAGGTCTACTTATATCTATCTAAGAAGACAGGAGAGCAAAATCTACCTTTCCTATCTGTCTTTCCCAGACAAACAGTTTGCTAAGTCTACATATTCTCTGTTTGTCCCAGGTAAAAAAGACAAAAAAATCTTTCTTTAGTCTGACACAGAAAACTGTTCTGTAAAGTTTACTTTTATTTTCTATATTTCAGAAGGATAGTAAAATTTACCTGGCTTCTGTCTACCTCAGAAAAATTGCAGTAATATCTACTATTCTTCTGTCTACTTATGAAATCCAAACAGTCAAATCTGCCTTCTTCTGTTTACTACAGACAAGCTGTAAATTCTTCACTCACCTTCACCATCATCATCATGTAGCAGGTCCTTTGCAGAACATCGCTCTCATCACGGTCTGCCTGAAAGAAACTCGGTCTCGCCAGCTTTCCCGCCTCATGTACTTTTATACTCAAGGAGTCACTTATATTCTGTGCCCATCTTCGTGTCGGTCGGCCTCTGCCCCTCCTTCCTGGTACCATGCCTTCTGCTATAATTTTTTCCAATCCATAGTGGCGCTTGATATGACCCAAATATTTCAGTTTCCGATACAGGATGCTGTTTATTAGACAATCTTCCATGATGTTCAGATCTTTCAAGATGTCAGTATTTCTCATTTTCTTTGACCATGATATTCTGAGAATCTTTCTATAGCATGTCAGCTCAAAAGCTGAAATTCTTCTCTAATGCACACAAAATACAGCAAAAACAACCTTTCTTCTGTCTACAACAGAAACCTGACAGTAAACTATACCTTATTCTGTCTACTCCATACAAACTGACATTAAACGATACCATCTTCTGTACATTCTTCACTAATCCAATCAAATAACATGATGGACTACATTTCTTCTGACTACTCCAGAAAAACATACAGTTAACTATATCTTCTTATATCTAGACCAGACTAATTAACCGTACATTATCCACTACTTCAATCAAATGACACGAAGCACTACATTTCTTCTGTTCACAGAAAAAACATGCAGTTAACTATATCTTCTTGTATTCAGCCCAGATTAACCAACTGCACATTCTTTACTACTCCAAAAAAAACGACATGAAGGCCTACCTTTCTTCTATCTGCTCCATCTCCACCAGCCCCTCTGACTTATCCATCGCCCTGTCATCTCCCATGGCCATATCAATCAGTGGAACCTCTGTCATCTCCATTCTCTGCTTGAACTGTTTCAGCGACATCACCTGGGCTGACAAGGACTCATTCTGTTTTCGTAGTTTTCCACTGAAAATATAAAGAGACGGCTACATACAAAAAAAAAAAAAAAAAAAACATACTGTCAACAGCAGAGGGTCCAGACTTGATATTCAAAATCCCTGTGGGTCCCAAGGCCACATTTTGGAGAAAGAATAAACTCATTGCCCCCCACCCCCAACAAGCATGTTGTAAAAGTTGACTTATTAGTAGCATGTCCTTCAAAGTCAGAGTGCGTCTGCCTGAGAAGCGAGGAATCAACAGTCTGCTTACAATTAAAATGGATGTTGACGCAAAACTCAAGTTCTGTAACAAGACTAAAGTCCAGAAGTAGACTTCACTGGATTTTACAGACAATGAACATGAAGAATAAAAAGAAATATGCATGTGAATCAAGTACAATGCCAGTAATGCATTCTAAGGATTTTTTTTTTTTCAGCTAACATTCCTTGTGACACTCTGCTACATCTGGGATAAGATGGTCTGTATTACGTCATCTTGACTTTACCACAGAAATGTTTAGCATCTGTTTTAAAATGAACTGATATGAAATCATTTGTACCATTGAAATTGATTATAAATTAACACTGTTGCGTTACATTGTACCCCGAGAGTTAATCATGACCACATTATTATTTTATATTATATAGTCTGAATTTTTTTCCTTTAAACTAAACAAGAAAGAAACACTGATAATGCTTTTCTGTTAAACAAAAAAAATGTAGTTATCCGATGGCACATTTTTATTAGTTGACGGTTAGTCTATATGCTTAAAAAAACTATTGATCACCCAGATGTAAAGGTACTGTCATCTTATTGGTTGAACCCTAAGGTATTCCTATGTGCAACTGTAACAATTTTGCTAATTAAATTACAAAGATTTTGAATGGCAAAATTATGACCAAATTGTGTTCCTTTCAGTATCTATGCATTTCGTTTTTGAGTAGTAAAGCCCCATCAGGTAACTTATTTTTTCACATTCAAAAAAAATAAATAAAGAATATTTGCTTTCATCATCACACACAAGTTTCAAAAGTCTCTTCTGGAACATAAAACCTACAGTTCAGCTTGAAGTTCCAGAATACAAGCGTCCATCGTTCTGCACTCCTTCTGCCAGCTCCTTTCTGCCATGTTGTGCTCAAGTTTCATGTTTTCCATCTTGATGTTTGTTTCTTTTATCTGTCTTTCACGTAATCTCACCAGTTCTTCCAGATAATCCTTCAGAAGAAAATAAAAGTATCAGAGAAATTAAAAGCTACAATTTATAAATATGTTGTACATTTCTACATCATATTTTTGTGTCGTTTGTAAATGATATAGGGTTTGCAGTAGATTTCTAAATTTCCTTCTACCCAGTGCAATTCTTTTGACATTGTGGATGGGTATCAATTTGACATGTCTCTCAGCAGTTTTTACAGACATGTCAGCTTTTAAAATAGTAAATTCCTTTTTCTCCATTGTTCATCCAAGGATTTATTCCCCATGCTCATTTATATCTGTAAGTGTTTCTATCAGCATGCTAACCTGGCAGAACTGTTTATGAAACATCTAGTACTGTCACTACAACACCAAGCAGTTTGACGCTTGAAACACTAGCAGTAATAAGGAAACTTATTTTGAACCACAAATTTACACATTTGGTTGCAAACTAAGTGATTCCATCAGCATGATCCAAAAAGTTATTGTAGAACTACAATACTCATCATTATCATCATCATAAACCACTTCTGCCATTATTGTCATGCCGTGAAGGCGTAGAGTGTCATTAATGTTAATGTTGTCGATCCATATTTCCTCTTGCTTTTGTAGCTGATCTTCTGAGATGTGATGCTTGTGATGGTTTTGATCTTGCTGCATTCTAACGAGATGGCCAAAGCACTTGATCTGCTGTTTCTCGATGACTCTAGTACAAGATGTCGTTCCAACAATTTGCCTGAAAGTTTCATTATTCACTCGAACTACAATACTTACACATTATAAGGCACTATGACTGCATTGTCAACACGACTGTCTATAAAATGTACAACTGTAGAACTAATACATCATAATGCTGTACTTAGTTACTAAACTACAGAGTTGATTCATCATAATATTGTAGTTATTATAAAACTACAAAGTTTAATAATCATTATGTAATAGTTCCATGATTACAGAGTTCACTGTAGAGAACTAACTGCTAAAGTAAAAAGAAAGGGGAAGAATAAGGAGTAGGAGGGAAAGATGAAAGAGGAGGAGGAGGGGAAGAAGAAGAACAAGAGGAGAAACAAGAGGAGGAAGAGTAGAGAAGCAAGAACAAGAAAAAGGATAAGAAACAGAAGATGAAGAAGACAAAGAAGAGAATTAGGAGGAGAACAAGAAAGAGGAGGAGGAGAAGAAGAAGAAACAGAAGTTAGAAGACGAGTTGTGTCACAAGTAATATATTATTATATAGTCATTTGTGCCTATGAGTTTGCTAAAAACTGGTAGGAGACATGGCTCAAATTCTATTTACACTCAATAAATAACCCAAAAGCCAACCTTAATTACAATAGCTGCATCTTACCTTCTGTTCTTTGATTTGGTTGACATTTTTCTCCAGGCTCTGAAGTCTTAAAATATCATTAATATTACTTTCTGTCAAGATGGTACCCGGATGCATATCTTCATCTGCATCCTTTCCACTCAAACGCAGCATCTCTATGTCATCAGTGTATCTGCTGGCCAATCTTGGTTGTCAGAAAGAAAAAAAAAAGATTTAGATGTTCAAAAAATGAATGAATGAATCAATCAAGAATTAACATCACTGCACTCAGGACATTCTTTCACATGCTCAGTCCTACTTCAGTAGCCAATGAAGAGTTGACATGCTAATAGTAACAAATGCAACCTGATTAAAAGTTTGCGTATATGCTTTAGCCCCAGTGTTAAATAATATCTTCAAAAACCTCTACTCACCCCTCCCACCCTTCCCCTTCCCGGTTTAATCACTGCATGGTTTGTCTGTCTGTTCTACTGCACTGTCCATTTGATCCCAGTGAAGCATCACCATATCTGTTTTTATCAGAAAGTAGCTCACTGCTTAGAGGAGTGGCAGCAGCTAATCTTCAGCCTGCTTGTTACCTGGCACACTTGAATATCCTAGACAGAAAAACCAGAGCCATTTTTAGGGGAAAAGAATCAATTTACTTTTTTCCAAACAGACATGCAGATATTGCAGCCTATCTGTAAACGGCCACACAATGTGCCAACAACCCATTAAAAGATAACACATCCGAGGTAGAAGAATAGTTGTTATCAAGTGAATTACTATACAACATAGCTCTAGAAGACCAGATAGCTAGTATTTTTGTGAGGTAATGAGGGATTAGTTAGCCGAAAAGTCAAGAACACTGGGCTCTCCTACGAATAACCCAGGTTTAAATTCTTGGTAAAGTTATGGATTTGTTTTCGGTCAGGGCACAAATAAAATCTTAACCTGCAGAGTCCATAGCAGCAGCACTAGCTATGTGGCCCTAAATCCTCAGTCTCAAGGGGACACAAAACACCACAGAAGTGGTAAATGCGGTCAGTAATTTGGGCACTTTTTTGCCAATGAGAGATCTAGGAAGAAAACTACCAAAATTAGCAGATGACTGAGCAGTTACATAGCTGGATTTTCCTTTGAGAGAGAAATAATTGAATCCTTGGATAGGTGTTTTCTTCTGTGGCGCTAAAGTTCCAGTGATTTATGAGGTGAGAGAAGACACTAGTCCTGAAAGAAAACACACAGAGAAAGCTTGACAATAGTATAACAGAAATGTAAACACAATGGAATCCACAGGACAAAAGAGATTGTGGAAGACCTGAAAATACATAGAAAGAAGAAATGGAAACAGAGAAGATGAGGAGGACATGAAGAGAGCTGCAGGATGTGACAAAAGATAGGAGTGATTAATGTGAGTCTATAGCAAAAACAAAGATAATGCATACAAACAAAACTGCCATGGAGAAGGAAATATATGTTAATGAGGAAAGATTGGAAGTGGTGGAAAATTTCGAATATCTTGGGTCACTGGTTACCAACAATGGTGACACAATGAAAGAAATTAAACGGCGACTATCAATTGCTCTTCAAAGACTAAAACAACTGAATAAATTATGGAATTGTACAGATAGAATTACAAAGGTCAGATTTTTAAGAGCATGCATCTTTCCCATTGCAACATACGACTGTGAGACCTGGACACTTACTAAACAAGCGGAACAGCGCATAAATGCATTTGAATATAAATGTTACAGACAGGTTCTAAGAATATCTTGGGTAAAGAAAAGAACAAATGCATCCATACTTCAAGAGCTGAATATTGAAGAGGGTTGGCTAGTAAAGACAATAAAACAAAGAAAATTGAAATATTTTGGTCACTTGAAACGTCATGGAAGTCTAGAGAGAACAATAATGGAGGGGTATATGCCTGGGAAGAGAGGAAGAGGAAGGCCAAGGAGAAGATGGGTGCAGGATGTGGCAGATGATCTCCAGATGGGTGTATCAGACGCAGGACATCTTGCTCAGGATAGGAAGGTTTTCCGGAGGGTTGTTATGGCAGCGAGGTTCCGCGAGGGACATGCTACTGAATGAATGAATGAATGTGAGTCTTTACCCTGTTAGGGGGCTGAGTGGTCTTGAGGTATGGTGCCTGCCTCAAGTGCTGGAGGTCCCAGGTTAAAGCTCCGGTCGAGGGTTGGATTTTTTCATGTTGACTTCTAGTAATATTCACTGATCTCTGGGTAGTAAGATCGCACGTCCGTGTGTATTGTTGCGCACATTAAAAAATCCCTTGGCAGTTGGATATCTAAAAGAGTAGCCTAACGATGCGGTTGAGTTAAAAATCTACCCAAAGTATTTGAGGATCCCTGCCAGTGCTATGGAGTTTGTGCACTGTTCTGAGATTTCATCAGACTCAGGCTTGAGTTAGAAGTAGCACACAGCACTTATGGGTTACACCTGTGTGCCATGATGTTGATCAGTTGAATAAACATAAACCCTGTTCAACCTCCAAGAAAGTTATCATTAGGACATCATATAATGGCCACACTAGCTTTGTGCAATATATGTCCATCAGAGTTAGGATGAGGAATGTATGTCAACGTATTTCCAAACACAAACATTATCTGAACTTCCCTGACTGATAGCCAAGTCTGGTTTTTCTTCCCTTCTAGAAACTTACGTCTGTCTGTACTTTAAGAAAGGGCTGTAGCTGATCTCAAGTGGTCCAAGTAACTCATTCTCATTGCCTTTCAAACAGAAGCTGTAGAGAAATCGGTGCTTTATTAATATCTTACCCCAAACAGGGGAAATCCACAGGTCATGGGACAGTCTAATATTTCAGAGGGTGGTAGATAGGTTGTATGCATTCGTGGGACTTAGGCTGCATGCACATGGGACCTAGGCTGCACTCTCTCGTGGGATTTAGGTGGGTTAGGGTTAGGACTAGTTTTAGACGTTTTGAGGTCGTTTAAAGCATCAGAAAGCAGGGTAACCCAGTCTTACCACCCTCTAAAATGTTAGACTGTCCTGTGACATCTGGGGTAGGATATTAATAAAGCTCTGAGAAATCAATACATACATGAGCATACAGAAACCGTTTATGTAAGGATCATCTCATTATGGATATTTCCAGATTATCTCATCATGATCAAGTGCCTTGCCGACTGGCGTGGGCCATCATGCCTCTCCACAATCTGTGATCTGCAACTGCGTGTATCAGTTTGTGTGTTGACACCCCTCCATGCCATGACAAAAGACTGTCAAAAATCTTTTCACACTGTCTTCCTCTATCTCTTTTTCCACAGATCTTTCAAGTGGTCACAATATGTTCCAATTTCCCTCTTCTCATAACATGACAAAAAAATTATGACTGTCTCTTTCTGATGTTTGTGATAAGTTGTCTTTGAGCATTCGCCTCTTTTAAAATATTTGGGTTACTCTTCTTAGCTGTCCAAGGAATTCTAAGGATTCTTCTGTAAAACCTCATTTCAGCGGCCTCAAGATATTCTGATTATCTACCTTCTCAAAATTGTGGCGGATTGTCTATCATTTCAAATACATTAGCAATGTTCATTTGAAACCTGTTTATGCCAAACTGTGTGTAACTGGGCAAGCAGGATCTTGTCATATTCATGTGATAAGTACTGACCAAACAGTATGTGCTTATTATCTAATGAAGCACAGGTTCTGTGAAAATGGCCTAGTTGATCCAAAATGAGCTCAAAGAGTGTTGACCCAAATTCTTTCATACTCGTGTGGGTTCTGGAGCCCCTGTGTTAGGAAAACAAGATAGACCAACTGCCTCCCCAACAGGCATGTTGTAAGAGTCAACTAATTGGGGACCTTCCTTTGAAGTTGGAGCGTGTCTGCCGTAGCGGCAAGGAACAACGAGTTGCATACAAATATGCCAGTAAAATGGATGTAAACACAAAACTCAGGCCCTTGGGCAAAGCCAAAGTCCAAATGGATAAACAACCAGGACTTTTCCCCAAATAACCAACAGCTAGAATGTAACTAGGGATCTCAGATTTAAAAAAGGGTGCTCAAAGGCATAAGCAACAGACGTCGACTGTGGTCATGTGGTTAGTGATATTTTTTCTTAGATTTAACTGTGTGGTAGAAAAAACCTGCTTTGTACACCTTTGTTTGTCACTCATGCCAGTGAGTTTTTTATGAATCTGAGATGTTGTTGCTCACTTATGGACCTCAACAAAGACTAGTCCCTACAGGGACTCCATGGAGTCTCTTCGTCTTCTCCTTTATCTCCTCCTTCTTCTTCTTTTTCTTCTTATTTTTCTTCTTCTTTTTTTTTCTTCTTCTTCTTATTGTTCTTCTTCTTCCTATTCTTCTTCTTCTTTTTCCCTTCCTTCTCCTTCTTCTTCTTCTTCTTGTTCTCCTCCTCCTCCTTTTTCTTCTTCTGTCTTCCCATTTAAAAGAGCGGTTGGCAAGCTGTGTTACGGTTTAAAGTTTGGCTGCGATATCTGTACCTTTCAGCCCTAACACATCAAATAGTTAGGGGTCTGCTGTCTGCCGTTTGACCTCCACCAGACAGTCTCTTGTGCTAGTGTCTCATTTCCCTCAACTTCATGACCCGTTTAGCCTGTACGGAAAAGTAATTTTCAACCTTTCCTTGGCATTTTAGCTTTATTTTTAATTATTACCTAAATTCAATGTTTCAAGATGTGTTATTTAGTTGCACAGGCTCTACAGAATGTTGCAGAACCAACCCTATCATATTTTGGCTGTTCGTGATTTTACTAGCCAATTTTGAATTCAACAGTTTGCCACACAGTCAACTCTCCATACCTTTGTCAAAACCAACGCAAAGCCATATGCTTCCAAAATGTCTGCAGCTGGAATCAAATCAGGTATTTTAGAACTATGAAGCAGTGTCACAATGCCTAAAACTCAGACACCCAAGAGCAAGATAAAAAAAAATTAACTTTTCGAGTATCAAAATATTTTACATGAGATGCACATATGTATATATTCATCAGCATCATCATCCCGTATCACTACGTGTCGTTGGGTCACCAGTTCCTGTTGACTGTCTCATCAGCTCTCTCCACTTTTGGCGGTCAGGTGCGATGGACTTCATGGTTGCATGCCTGAGGCCTGTCCAGTGAGTCAGGTTCTGTAACCAGGTCTTTCTTGGTCTGCCTCTTCTCCTCTTTCCCTCTACTGAGCCCTGCAGTATTGTTTTTGAGAGGTCGTTAGATCTTATTACATGTCCATACCATAGCATTTTTTGCCTTTTCACTGTAGTTAAAAGAAGTTCATAGTTGCCAATGTGTTGTATAATTTTATGGTGAACCTCTTTGTTTGTAATGTGGTCTCTGTATGATATGCGAAGAATTTTTTTGAAATATAGCATTTCAAATGCTTTTATCTTTCTAAGTTCAGCCATATGTTAATGTATTAATAGCTATTACTCGGAGCAATAAAATCTTAGTTTTGCATGTTTTTGGATTTCCATATTGTTTGCTAGAATAGGGGCTTTTGAGCTGAAATGCTATAGAAAGATTCTCAGAATATCTTGGACAAAGAAGATGAGAAATATTGACATCTTAAAAGATCTGAACATCAAGGAAGATTGGCTAATAAACAGCATCCTTTCTCGAAAGCTGAAATATTTTGGTCAAATCAAGCGCCATGACCGATTGGAAAAAACTATAGCAGAAGGCATGGTACCAGGAAGGAGGGACAGGGGCCGACCAACACGAAGATGGGCACAGGATATAAGTGACTCCTTGAGTGTGAAAGTTCATGAGGCGGGAGAACTGGCAAGAGACCGAGTTTCTTACAGGCAGACTGTGATGAGAGCAACGTTCTGCAAAGGACCTGCTACATGATGATGATGATGATATTGTTTGCTGCTTAGCAAGGACTGATGTTGTCTGGGTTATCCTAGACATGATTTCTGGTCTTGACCTCTAGTCACTTAAAATGAATCCTAAAAATGTGAAATGAGTCACTTGTTCTAATTTTTTACCTTTAAATTAGATTGGTGAAATTCTGCCTGCTGGATTA